ATGAGGGAGGGTGTTGGAACAGTGCATCGAAGAGGAGGTGGAAAGGTGGGGGCCAAGCTGGACAGTGAGGGATATTGGGGGCTTTATCTGTCCCCCCCCAAAACCTCCACATCCATGTCTACGTGCGTCCCCACTAAAAAAAATTTCTCACTGACTCCATGCTAGTCCCTGCACAGTTTCTGCACCCTCTACCCAGTTTCTAAACCGGCAAGTTTGATGGTGACACCTGCCTCTTGTGGGGAGGAGAGAGAACCAAGCTGTGTTGGACAGACAAAGAGACATAAGACGATGCAGAGGCAGTGAAGGAATTAACATGCACCCAGTGTATTCAGTGACAGAGTAATCATTGCCAAGCAAAGCAACCAGAAGCAGTGAAGGGTGAGAGCTGGGCAGTGTGGTACATTAGGTTACTGAGAATTTTCTTTTTTTTTTTTTAAACCAAGAAAATTAAATTCCCCAAAACTTTACACATAATTAAGGATGCCCAGTGGTACCCTGTGCCCTTCCAGAATGTGTAGTGTGGCTAAACTGAAACCTCTGAAAACCAAGAAATAAAGTTAAGGTACACAACACACCCACAATCTTATCTAATTTAAACGGCATGGGGAATTTATGTAGACAGAATACAATTAATTACTGAACATAGTCAGGATAAGAGGATAAATACCACTACTCTTTGAAAAGGTGCTTTCGAATCTTTTAATCTGAACTATAGTGTAAATCTCACTAGGTATGGCTTTAAGAGGGGAAATAGCCACATACTGAATGATTAACACCAGTTCTTGTAGGATCTACACAACCCTTGAAGGCCGCCAATCCAAGTGTTTAACTGGCTTGCTCTTGCTTCTACTGCAAAATCTGACAGGATCATAATACAAAGTGGTCTGGCTACTAGAGGCTAAAACTCTCTCTCTCAAAAACAAAAAACAGGGTCTGTGTGTGAAGACTACAGGCAATGTATCAAGTTTATCTACTGAGAGCAGAAATACAAGCCAACAATATTCTGTTCATTGCCTATGATGTTCTGTTCATTCCCTCTCTAGAGCACCTGGCATTGTCAGAAGACAGATACTGGGCTAGATGGACCATAGGTCTGACCCGGTATGGCCGTTCTTATGCTCTTATGAGCTCCAACCTGCAATATCGAATTAGGTATATGGAGATCTGTGGCTAAGAGGGAAGATACTGTTAAACTTATTAGTTAGTAAAATAGATTACAACTTCTTCACCCCAAACTGGTAACATTGTGAAAGTTGAATAAAAATAGGTTTTAGAGTAGCAGCCATGTTGGTGAAGAAAAGCATACCAATGAAGTCTGAGGCCTAATCAACACCTAATCAACCTAGATACACTGGCTTGGGGGGGGAGGGTGTGAAAAATCCACCCCTCAGATATGTAGTTCAGCTGACTTACACCCCAGTATAGACACCACTAAGTCAATCAAAGAATTTTTCCATCAATTTTGCTACCGCCTCTTGAGAGGGGTGGATTATCTACAGCAATGGAAAAACCTCTTCTGCCATTGTAGCAAGTGTTTACACTATAGCACTACAGCAGCAGTGCCATAGCTATAGTGTCTGTAGCATAGACAAGCCCTCAGTCTCTACTGCTTTTGGACTCTCATAACAAATCCCACACAGAGCCTGATTTACCAGCAATCCCATATGCTGAACACCCACTAATTTCAATGGGAATTCTGCATACAGAGTGGGGCTACATTTCTCCTTTTTGGTCAGAAGCAAGCAAAATGGGTTCAGATGTTTTGTACATAGCAGTGACACATTTTACTGTCAAAAATACCCACCAGAATAGTTTCTTTGGGAAAAATTAACAGGCCTCACAATTGTTCCAAGACTGACTTTTTTCAAATTTGCCCTTGTCAAGGACACAAATGACGTTTTAACTTAATTTGTAGCTCAAAGTACTCCATATATCTCTCCTCCACCCCAAAAAACTACTTTTGTTTTTTTAAAGGCATCCTGTCAAAATACTAGTTTTATAATGACCTTTTTCCTTGGCTCTCAAATAATCAAGCTAAATCAACAGACTCATCCTTAAGACCTCTGCACATTAAAGTTTGCGTAGCAAGTGCTTGAAAGTTTCAAACAGTCTACATCAGGGGTTCACAAACTGGGGATCACAAGATTATTACATGGTGGGGGTCACGAGCGGTCAGCCTCGACCCCAAACCCTGCTTTGCCTCCAGCATTTATAATGGTGTTAAATATATTAAAAAGTGTTTTTTTAATTGGGGGGGGGGCTTGTTATGTGAAGGGGTCACCAGTACAAAAGTTTGAGAACCACTGGTCTACATGGCTATAAAATGTGTTACAGTCATGCTGAGAATCACTGCTTTAGACAGGCATTTCTACAGTACTCACCACAACATTGGTGTTTATAATGTCACAAAACAAATTCTGGGATCTCTTTAGTTCATGAGGATGCATAAGAGGTTTAAAAATAGGCTTTTTTTTTTTTTTTTTAAGAAAAGGTTAGTTAAAATATGCTAAATGCCCTCCACAGCCCAGTTAGTGCACATGTGAGACGGCTGGGAGTCAGGGACTATAGGTATGTCTCACAGGGCCCACTTGAATTCCTATTGACTACAGTGGAAGTTTGATTAGGCTTTAGGACTTGTCTTCAGGAGAGTTTTACCAATCTTAAGTGAATGTGTTATTTTTTAACTTAAGCTGGTGTAACAGCATCAAGCACCCAGTGAAATAAAACTCCTAGTTGAGTGACCTAAACTTTTTAGCCAAGAATTATGAAAATTATGCATCTACTGATTCATTTTAAGTGGTGGGATCACAGATGCCAAAAAGTTTTAATTGCTGGGTACCACTGTATCAGAAGAAGGGACATAAAAATATGTTATTTGTGTTTGTTGCACATTAAAAAGTGCAGTGTTTGTGTACTGAAGCATATGATGTGATGCCTAATAACCCTTGGCTAGTTGAACTCCGGTCTGTTTTAACACGTTCCCTATAGCTGCTTTCTCCTTGTTGATCAATTATCTCAAAGATTCAGTCAGGTACACTGCTAGCTTTGTCATTTCTACCTTTTAAAATTGGAGATAAATGTTGCTAAATATCAAGGGCCAAATTCTTCCCTCTGATGTACTGCATAGGGTTCCCTTTAAAGTCAATTATCAGAAGGGTAGCCATGTTAGTCTGTATCCAGAGAAACAACAAGGAGTCCAGTGGCACCTTAAAGTCTAACGGATTTATTTGAGCATAAGCTTTCGTGGGTTAAACAAAAAACACCACTTCTACCAGTGCATGGAGTGAAAATTACAGATACAAGCATAAATATACTAGCACATAAAGAGAAGAGAGTTTTGTAAGGTAACTCCCTTCTTTTCATGTACTAGTATATTTATGTTTGTATCTGTAATTTTCACTCCATGTATCTGTAGAAGTGTTTTTTTATCCACAGAAGCTTATGCCCAAATAAATCCATTAGTCTTTAAGGTGCCATCAGCAGGGGGGAGAGGAGAGTGTGTGTGTGTGTGTGTGTGTGTTTTAAAGTCTGTGCCAATTCAAGGGCCTCAGTGGTTTACTAAATGTCCTTGTTAATTTCAGTATACAGCCTAAAGAACTTATTTTAGCACTGACACAACTTTCATTAAACTCAACTAAAGGGCTCCCCCATACACTTGAATGGGACTTGGATTGGGCCTTAATTGGTTGGCCCCTCAACCGTTTTTATTCCCCGCATTGCAGATTTTGCTTTTATATATTTATTTTGTTAATCTTTTATAGAGAACATGGCTTTAATACACACTTTTAAGTTAAAAGAAAAGGAGTACTTGTGGCACCTTACAGACAAACCAATTTATTAGTCTCTAAGGTGCCACAAGTACTCCTTTTCTTTTTGCGAATACAGACTAACACGGCTGCTACTCTGAAACTTTTAAGTTAGAAGAAAATGAGTTTCATAAAGCACATTTGATTCAATTCAATTAATGCCGAATTTTAATTTTGGTTTGCAAGTTACCTTCCATTTGGAGAAAATAGAGATAAATCACATGACCTATTGATGACATACAAATGGTTTTAATCTGTGGCACATTTACTTATTGGTTGCATCCGATGAAGTGAGCTGTAGCTCACAAAAGCTTCTGCTCAAAAAAATTGGTTAGTCTCTAAGGTGCCACAAGTACTCCTTTTCTTTTTGCGGATATAGACTAACATGGCTGCTACTCTGAAACCTGTTATTATTATCTGTATATAGTCCTAGTTCCACATACCCTGAAGAGAACTCTTTTAGTAGGTTTCAGTTAAATAACCAAAATGTATCTAGATGTTGTACACTGCATTTATTGCATGGCTGTAGCACAAATATGCAACAGGTACGGATGGATTAAGAGAGATCTAAATTATACAAAACCAATCTTGATCAAGCAGCACAGCCTCAATTTAAAATAAGCAATAGTTTACTCTGTGCTTCATGTCTTCATTGAAGTTGATTGAGAAATAGGGACTTGAGGTGAAACCCATCTCTGCCCTGGAGTGCGTGTGCTAACTCATCAAGGAGCACGAAATGCTCCAAACCCCAGGCTTCCGAGCTGGCGTTAGAACAGGCCAAGGTCAGTCGTAGGTTGGAACATCTATGCAAACAGTGTAAAGCAATCACAAAACGGAAGCTCTGAGGAGCCCTGGTTCTATGGTGGGTTAGAGAGAGTGCAACTCGCGGGGCGAGGGGGAAATATGTCGATTTTGGCTATTGCCGCTAGAAAAGCTGAGGAACCGCTGGATAAATTGCAGCTTTTGCGTTAGGATGGATGCCCCCTGAACCTACCTCTCCTTTACCAGGGAGCGCAGTCAGCGAGTACACAAATAATCGCAGATGCTGTGTCGCCCTTTCCTTACTTGTGGTGCTGGTCCTGTGCCCCCGACCTGCGCAGGCCCTCACCTGCCACACCTCCCCACGTGCACCCCTCCCTTTACGCCGCGCCGCAGGCGGCCCCCCCCCCGGCATGCCGCAGGTCCCCCCCTTACCTGTGTTGCAGCCCCACCAGCCCTAAAGTGATCACATGGGGCACATCGAGCTCCGCGGGCCACGAGCCGGAGGCGATGCAGCCGAACACGCCGCACTCCTCCCGGATCCCCAGCTCCTCAAACTCCATAGCGCCCGGCCACCCCGCACAAACACGTGCTGCCGTCGGCCCCGAAGCGCGGGTCTGGGCGGCCGCCGGCTACCTCCCGGGCGAGGCCAACTCCTGCTGCGCCGGCGCCGCGGCAGCCAAGGCCAGGCCAGCGTCGTCCCGCCCGGGACCCCGCCACAGCCCCCGCCCCCTTATTTACATACGGGGGTGGGGACTGTAACGACCCCCCCGGCCGCGCTCGGGCCCCCCCCCGCGGCGGGGTAGGAGGTGCCGCTGGGTCTGTTCTTGGAAACATACAGTTCATCAGCGCGCGCACCTCCCCCTCCTCCGTTTGGTACGTTCCGCTCTCCGCCCTCCCACGTGCTGCTTCCCCAGACTCCCCGCTGCGTTCACAGCCCGCCCGGCCGGCCGGCCCGCCGCAGCTCGTGAGTGACAGCGGGGAGGGAGCGGGTCCAGGTGCCCAGAGACCGGCGGAGGGGGGCAGTTGCACTGGCGCGAAGGAGAGCAGGGGGAGGGCGGGGATGTTGGCGCGCGCAGTGAGGGGGGCAGGCGCGCGGGAGGTCTCATAGGGAGGGGCCACGGGGGGCAGCGGGCGGTGGGTTTGCCAGTGCGGGGGGCGGGTTCCTTGCGGCTATTGGGCTGGGCAGTCACGCCCCGCCCTTTACGCTGCCCGCCTTTGCCCCTCGCGCGCGCTGCGTCATCGGGTGTGCGCGTGACCGCGGGTGCGGAGCCGCCACCAGCCCCACGTGCTAATCGGGCCTCTCTGTGTCTCGTAGGTTCCTGCTCTCCTGGCCGCCGCCGGCGCGATGGCTCCCGTAGCAACAGGTAACGTTCCGCACCCTCACCCTCCGCCCCGCCCCGCCCGGCGCGGCGGGAGGCCTCGGGCGACCTTGGGGCTGAGTTCGGCATCAGCCTCCCCCGAAGCTGGCGGGGCTCGGAGCAGAGCCCGCTTCCCCTCTCGGCCTTCCCCAGGGCGGGAGGCGGCTGGCGCTGCTGGGCCCCCGGGGCTGAGCCGGAGAGGCGCCTTCCCCCGCCGGCAGAGAGGAGCAGCGGGCTGCGCGAGTGGCGGGGGCCGTGGGGGGAAATGCTCGGGCTCCCGCCGCCGCACCGCGTGGGCTGGTGGGTAATAAGGCGCGCATGCAGCCTAGGCCCCCAGTGCAGACTCCGTGCGGGGGGAAGGGTGGTTTGTTGTTTAAACCCAAACTGGGGAACAGGTTAAATGAAACCTGAAGGACAAGACCCGCCATGGCAAGTGGCTGGCTCCAAAGTTCATGGGGGTTGAAACAAAACTTTAATGGAGCTGTTTTCGTGTTCTCCTTCGCTGTAAATGGGGCCTTTAGGCTTCTGGCTGCCCTGCCTTAGGTTTGGAAAGGACCTACCTTCAGAGCTGTACCACGTGAAGCTGGCTATAATCCAGATAAGTCCAGTTTCGCTCTAGGATGAGTGAAAAGCAAACATAGCATGAACATAATGGCCTACCACTTGAAACTTTTTAGTTTGAACAGTTCAGGTGCTGATAACCCCCAATAACCTTCAAATGGCACTTGCTTAAAATCACTCCTTTGAGCTAGGGGTGTGATTTCCCTGCTTGTGTGCGCATACTTGCCCGCTGGCTAGCTCTCATTGAGCTGGCACAAGTATAAATAACAGTGTAGCACAGGTAGCAGCAGCAAGAGGCATTGCTGAGCCCTTGCAAGTACAAATCTGCCTGATGCCCGGCAGGTATGCTTTTCTTCCCATTTCCCAAAGATGAATTGATCAGCCATACCCATCTGTTGTCACACTATGTCTTGAATAGAACTTCTCAATTTTCACCTGTACATTTGCTTGTTTAAACGTCTCTTACTGTTAGAATAGACATAAAGAATAAAAGGATACGTACAAAGAAATGTATCCAACATGTAAAGTCCTTACCATAGTTTAAGGAAACAAATCCTGATTGTTTTGCATCAGTGGAACCATTTGGCCAGTAGTCATGAGACTTTACAGACTTTTGTCTGTGCTGTTGGAACTAAAGTTTTCCTTTTCTACCGGTTTTCTAGATGGGCTTTAAATGTTCATTTATACTCATTGAAGAAAACTTGAATGTTGGGGCATTGTCAGTTAGTTAGTTAGTTTAAAGACCAGAAGCAGTATGCTATCTCTGTTTCCCAAAATGTACTTGTATGTATGATTTGCCAAAAATAATAATTTGTCCAAAAATTTAATTTTAGAAATTAACTTTTTTTCTCTAGAACTGAAACTTGGTAAAAAAATTAATGAAGGTAAAACAAAAGAAGTCTATGAGTTGCCAGATCTGGCAGGATGTGTGATGATGCAATCAAAAGACCAAATAACAGCAGGAAATGCAGCTAGGAAGGATCACATGGAAGGAAAGGCAGCAATTTCCAATGCAACAACTAGCTGTGTGTTTCAGCTGCTACATGAATCTGGTAAGTATTTGAAAGGTAAAATAGATGCATTTGTGTTCTGTTATATATATGGTGAGTCTTATGGAGTGATATGACTGTCTGAGAAGGTGTAAATGTTAATGTTGATTCACCCTAGGTTTTGTAACTGACTGACTTCAGTAAATGTCCTTATATCAGTGTCCCAGAGAATAATCTAAGATTATTGATTTTGGTTACTAAATTAAAATTTAATTTATCATATTTGAAGTCCTCCCCCAGCCCCAAAAAGCTTCCATATGCATTATTGCTGTCTTCCTGGACTCCATTCTCTTCCCTCCTCACCAACCACCTCATGCTCCTTTTCAACTCCCAGGTTAGAAGCAGATAGTGAGAGTTTGGCATCAAGCTCTTTTTCCACACATTTGTCTGGAAATTACTACTGCTGGTCAGTGACCGTACCAAAGACTGCATTTAAAAGCAAAACTTTACCTAGCTTTACTAGAGTTAAACCATAATAAAAATGAAGATGGATAAACTTCATTAAATGTGCTTGTTTTCTCAGTGTCTGCCATATCACTTTCAAAGACTGTTTGTTTGTGGCATAAAAAGTGTGCCAAATACTTTACAGGTAGCTGTGAAGAAGCTATTTTATTTTGCAGAGTTTATGATGTAGCACATGGTGGATACTGAGATCAATTGAAAATCTTAAGATTATTTTTGAGGCTTCAAAAATGGCTTACCTTTTCATGCTGTAGAAGACTATTGATGAGATCCTCGCCCCTTCAAAATCAACAGCAGAACTTCCATGAACTTGAGTAGGGCCAGAACTTCATCCTGTACAATTTAGGTCACTTAACGAGTTGGTACCTAATCTGTAAAAATGGTATTAATCCTTGCTTGTTTTACAGAAGGTAAATGATTTGAATGCTCTGCCTTTCCTTGAAATAATTACTGTCAAGTAAATCTTTTTGAGAAAGTTCTTCAAATTTACTTTGAAGTGTATTAGACTTACACTAATAAGTCTAATTATTTTTTATATTAGACTTATAAAAATAATTCATAATTTCCTTCATAGGGCTTAGGTGCACTTTTCTCAAATGTCTTTCTGACAAGCATATACCATACATTAAAAATAAACCCATGCTTTCTTGATTAGGGCTCTGAAGCACTACTGTAACACAAATAACTTGATTTTAGTTGCTCAGCACTTAACAAGGTACTGATTATGCAGTTTTAACTCAAGTTTGAATATTATAAGATCTTTCATAATTGTGTTTGCAGATTTTTAAAAAGAAAACTAAATATCGATCCTCATTAATCTCTCTCATGTGGAAATACTTTGGGTGAGAGCATAGCTCTTTATTCTGTTTTAACTGTTAATGAAAGTGTAAAGGTTCTGGGATTTCTCTTTCAGATTTTTAGTTTAAAAAAAAAGTCTTGTCTTGCAGTTGCAACACTGAGTAATCCTGTTGAATAAAAATAGAGGGTAATGTTTTCAAAAGGGCTAGGATTGTTGATTAATCGCAGTTAACTCACACAATTAACTCAAAAATTACTCTGCGTTTTAATCACAGTGTTAAACAATTGAATATCAAGTGAAATTTATTAAATATTTGTAGATGTTTTCTACATTTTCAAATATTGATTTCAATTGTAACACAGAATACAAAATGTACAGTGCTCACTTTGTATTTTTGTTATAAATATTTGCACTGTAAAAATGATAAAAGAAATAGTATTTTTCAATTCTCCTCATACACGTACTGTAGTGCAGTCTCTTTATCATGAAAGTGCAACTTACAAATGTAGATTTTTGTTGTTGTTAGATAACTACACTCAAACAAAACAATGTAAATCTTTAGAGCCTACAAGTCCACTCAGTCCTACTTCTTGTTCAGCCAATCACTAAGAAAAACAAGTTTGTTTACATTTGCAGGAGATAATACTGGCCGCTTCTTGTTTACAATGTCACCTGGGACTTTTGTGGCTAGCAGTGCAAGGTATTTACATGCTAGATAGGCTAAATATTGATATGCCCCTTCATGCTTTGGCCACCATTCCAGAGGACATGCTTCCATAGTGATGACCCTTGCTAAAAACGATAATGTATTAAATAATTTGTGACTGAACTCTGGGAAAAATAGTATGTCTGCTTCTCTATTTTACCCGCAGCCTGTTATATATTTCATGTTATAGCAGTCTTGGATGATGACCCAGCACATGTTGTTCGTTTTTAAGAACACTTTCACTGCAGATTTGACAAAATGCAAAGAAGGTACCAATGTGAGATTTCTAAAGATAGCTACAGTACTCAACCCAAGGTTTAAGAATCTGAAGTGCCTTCCAAAATCTGAGAGGGACGACATGTGGAGCATGTTTTCAGAAGTCTTAAAAGAGCAACACTCCAATATAGAAACTACAGGACCTGAACCACCACCAAAATAAAAAAAAAAATCAACCTTCTGTTGGTGGCATCTGACTCAGATGTGCCCGGTCGCTCTGTTTTGGATGGTTATCGAGCAGAACCCATCATAAGCATGGATGCAAGTCCTTTGGAATAGTGGTTGAAGAATGAAGGGACATGTGAATCTTTAGCGCATCTGGCACGTAAATATCTTGCAACGCCTGCTACAACAGTGCCATGTGAACCTCTGTTGTCACTTTCAGGTGACATTGTAAACAAGAAGCTGGCAGCATTATCTCCTGCAAATGTAAACAAACTTGTTTAAGCGATTGGCTGAACAAGAAGTAGGACTGAATGAACTTGTAGGTGCTAAAGATTTACGTTGTTTTTTGAATGCAGTCATT